AATGATTGACACTTAGCAACTACTCCCTATCTTTGTCAAGTGAAGGAATGAATGGATGAACCCTGAATTATGTCCCCTATTCCTTTTCACCTGCAGGGGAAGGAGTCCAGGTTTCTGGTCCTCACCCTGAATCCAGGTCTGAAGCTACAGTGGGTGGCACATTCCAACCAGGATGACCAATGGCAGGTTTCCCCCAGCTTGATCCCAGGGAGCCAAAAGAGAAATTGGCATCTCAAGTCCCACTGCATCCTTGTGAAGAAAACACTCCAAGTGTTGGAGACTTGCAAACTTGCTGGGTGTGTATGGGCTGCCTCAGGAGCGGAGCAACAAATGAGCCTGTGCAGATGGCGCTGAGATAAACGGCGCCATCTTTTTACTGTAGCGGTACAGTCGTAATTTTCCAGAGACATTTATTAGGCGGCGTCTCCCTTCTGTGGGACTGTGCTGTGGCTGGCGCACAGAGCCGCTGCGAGCAAGGTGGAGAGCGGAACCCAGTGCTAATGGCATGGTGGGCACCCAAATCTCTCCCATTTCCTTTCCTTTCATTCTCGCTTCTGACAATTTATAGTTGGGTTTGATGCGTGAATAGCCGTATCTCTCTAGTAATATGTATTCTTTGTAAGTATTCCCTGCTGTGGCGTATCCTAACAGAACTCCATCAAATAATTATCTTCCCTTTTATTTATTCTCCTTCTTTTCACTTGATCTGCATCGCTATAAAATATTCCAATGGTCTCAGAGTAGAAAGCCTTCTTTGTGATTGTAAAGTGTATTTATATACAGTGTTAAATCACACTTGGTGGCTCTTCATCTCAGCACTTGCCCAATTTGACAGGGTTTGGGACCTGTGAGGAGTTCCCAGTTCCTCCCATTGGGAGAGGAAGAGCTGGGGTCTTTGAGACCCTTGGGTTGACCCTAGGACCCAGTGATACAGATTTTCCAGCTCAGGAGCTCCTAACCAGCTTCAATTCAACCTACTCTGACCTTGAGAAAGTAGCTTTTATTCCAGGACCTCTGGGCTCTTCCCCAGGTCCCCTTTGCCACAGGGAGAGTTAGTCCAATATAGCCCAACTTCTTTCATTTCCAAAATCTAGAGAAAGTGAGGATCCATTATGAGACCACAGTACCCATGTCTGGCTTAGACTCAATGACCTGTTTGCTCAAGTATGGTCAGGCCCTCTCATGTTGTATTGCTTCTAACCAGACTGACAGCTCCCCGTGGGCAGGCACTAGCTATATCTTCTACCTTGCTTTTCACAAAGCCTTTGGCACAGAGCTGGATAATCAGCTCACAATGAACAGTGATTGCTTTGAGTCCCTTTCCAGGAAGTAAGGTCTGAGTAGGTCCTTCATCCCAGGTCCAGCATGTTCCTATTTAGTTGCATATTTAATATATGGGTTCATTATCTTTGTAAAAGTATCTTCAATCAGATGACAAGCTCCTGGAGCATCTTTACATTCAGAACGGGAAGCCTTCTCAGGAGTCCCCCTGCCTCCCTCACTCAATGTCTGAACATGAATCCTGGAACCTTTCTCCCTCCTGTTTTATTCTGTAAAAACCCAGCTGATACAACTTGAAGGAATAGGATGCAAAATGTGGCAAAAAGAGAGCACACTTAGAACCAAGATACCCGGGCTCCGGTCAGTTCTCACGTTGCCCTTCTGAGAGTCATAGGATCTTACTGTCCTTCTCGTGTCTCACCTATAAAATACAAAGTTAGAAAAGTTGATGATCTAAAGATCATTTGGTTCAACCCTCTACCTCCAGATGTGCATCCATCTTACCTGGAAAGGTCACCAGAGGTGGGAATTCAGCAACTTTGCCTGTGCCCTTGACCAGGTATAACCACCTGGAGTTCAAAGCCTTTTCTGCATCTTGCTTGGTTTAAGGAGAATCTGCTCTTTCGGTTGCTTACCGGGAAGAGTTTAGGCATTTCTCCTTCCATATCCTGGAGCTGAGTGGGGAGGCTGGAGTGAGGGCAAGATGTAGAGCTCCCCCGGGAAACCTTTTTCCATCCTGCTCTGCATCAGGAACACCTGTGGGCTTTAAACCCCTGCACAGGCCAGGGGCACATCCTGGTTCTATTGGGTTGGAGTCTCTGGGAATTGGGTCCTGGCATGGGTTTTTTGGTTTGATTTTTGTTGTTATTGATTTTTGTTTGTTCGTTTGTACCAGGGATTGAACCTGGGGGTGTTTAGTCACTGTGCCACATCCCCAGCACCCCTGCTTTTAAAAATATTTTATTTAGAGACAGGGTCTCACTAAGTTGGTTAGGGCCTTGCTAAGTTGCTGAGGCTGGCCTTGAACTCATGATTCTCCTGCCTCAGCTTGCATGTGTTTTCTAGAGCTCCCTGTTGGTTCTGAAGCTCCACCAGGGTTAGAGAGGGCCTTCGGGGATCCCATGGCCCTTCCTCCTCTCTTCCTACCCCCTAGGCAGGGGTTGAAGACCTCTGGGGCTTCAGTTTCTCTTGTCACTGGGCTCTGGTGGGAGGACTTAAGACGAGGCAGCTAATAGCACCCACTTCAGGACCACAGCAGCAGCTGAGCAGCACTGCTTCCTGGATGAGCTGTTACTCAAGTGGCAAGTTGGACGGGCAGTGCTTCCTCTCCTGGTCACCTGTGGCAGGTATTCCTCTGATTTCCATCTATTCAAGTACCTGAGTGTATACAGACTGGCTGCTGAGATGGGATGGATTCCTGCCTCCAAGAAGTTCATCATCAACAGCAGCTCTTCACCCTCCATCTCACTCCCAAGCCTCATACTCTGCTGTGTACCCGAGATTCTCAATGCCAAAGCTCCTGAGGCATCTCCTCCATAAACCCTGTTGCTGGGCCCTCAGAATCTATCCAAGATCTCTTGTCCATCCCTGTCCCTCGACCCCTAGATGAAGCCAAATATGCCCTAGTCCACAGCAGGGCATGGGCTTTGTTCCAGGTCTTGGGAAGAGCCATGTGACTACATGGTCACCCCTTTATGGATTTTATGTCATGGGCAGACCTCTCTTCTGTTCCTGCCTCTGCCTGATCCCTGGCCTCAGTGATGTTCCTCACTTCTCTTCTGCACATTTCTGGCTTTGCTGATTTCCCAGCCTTAGCTTCTTCCATTGTCTTCCTAAATTACCCCTGCCCCACTCACCTGTCTCTGGATGTAGGAAGGTTTAGCTCAGGGGCTGCCGAATGTCCCCCATCTCTTTCAGGATGCTTTTCTGCAGAGGACCTTTCTGAGCTCCCCAATCACATATCTGGGGCATTGTCACGGGCATGGGTTGGTGGATGAGACTTGCACTGGGGTCAGCAGCCACACACACTGTCCCCCCACATCTGCTTGGACAGCTCCCAGGAGACCCCCCTTTATATTGCCCACCATCCGCCTCCATTTTGGCCAGGGCTGGAAGGTGAGCAAGGCCTGTTGCAAGCTCCCAAAAGGAGGTGGGTAGAAACGACTTTCCCCTGGCTCTTCTCCTCCTTGCTGCGGTGAGCTCCTTTTACCCAGGGACCCTTCCAGACACCACTGAAAGTTCAGCGGCAGCTGTTCGGCATTTACATTTTACACAGTGCAAGGTTATTTGACTGCCGTGATTTGATCTTCTCTAGTTAATAACCTTGACTTATGGAATAATAGCAGGAATGGTTCCATTCTTTTCCTGCCAGGAATTCCTGATGTTTAGGAGTGGTGAGTGAGCATAGATCTTCTTTCCAAGTCCCTCTGTCTTCTTGTCCCGCCACAAAGGGGACTCTGCCAGATATTAGAGAAGTCCACAGGCTGTGACCATGATCATATCTTCTGTGGGCATCTCCCCCTACTTGCCCTCTTGGCTTAACAAGACCCCATCTGGCTCCTGTTTATGCACCTTACCCTTCCAGACTCTCTCGTCCTTAGTTCTGAGCCACAAGTAGAATGGGTTACTATCTTGATCCCACTCCTCTTCAGGAGCACTTCCTGGCAAGGGTTAACTGTGTGTATAAAATTGATTGCGATTTTAGTAATTCGGTATAATCACAGTCTACCAGCAGGTTGCTTTTCCAGCAGGAGGGTTTGGAATTATTTTCTGGAGTTTGCAATATAGAACTTAAATTAAGCCTCAGAAGTCAGGGGAGCTCCACAGCATCCCTAATGCGGTGCTAAATTCTCAGCAGCAGAGTCTCTGTATTAAAGCCTTTGCTGGCAATTAGGTTCATTAACTATCACAATACCTTATTTATTACTCGTCGTGCCATATGGTTTCCCAGCTAAAGAATGGCGCCCGTTCTCCTACAGACCATTTGGCATCATAAAAATGTTAACAAATAATATTATGGCTCTCGGGGGCACAAGGCCTTGCTGGGTTCTGGGTCTGAGCGGCGGGAGAGAATATGAAAACATTTTTCTTCTATGGCGAAATAAAAACTTCCTCAAGACAGAAGTATTCAGAGAATATCGTGCTTGCATAACATAAATGGGAGTTTTATTTACCCTCATAATGGTTATGTCAATATTTGCATCAGCTGGGACTTTCACTCATCTTCCTCCCCACTCTTTTTTGGGGTTGTTTTCTCTTCCACCTTTCCTCTTCTCTACTTCTGTGGCATGAGGCCAACTAACCAGGAAGGCCTTGGGATGAGCTGTTGATGGGGTGAGGGTGGCTTTTGGAGTCTATTGCAGCTTATCCACTGTGTTAGTCAGCTTTCTATCACTGTAACAAAATGCCTGGGATAATCAATTTATAAAGAGAAAGGGGTTATTTTGGCTTACAGTTTTGGAGCAATTGACCTCACTGTTTTGGGGCTCATGTCAAGGCAGCACAACACAGTGGGAGCATGTAGCAGAACAAAATCACTCACTCCAGTCGGTAAGCAAAAGAGAGAAAGAGGAAGAGAAAGAGGAAGAGACAGAGGTCTCACAGTCCTATTTGAAAACATGCCTCCCAATGACCTAAGGACTTTCCACTAGGCCCCACCTCTCAAAGGTTCTAGTACCTCCCGTGGTGCCACCCTGGGTACAAAACCTTTAACACTTGGACCTTGGAGGGATGCTTTGAGATCTACATTATAGTAGTCACCTCGCCCCAGCTGCCTGCTTTGCTCATCCCACCTCAGGGCTTCATCTTCAGTTAGTGTTTTAAGCAGAAATTGGTAAGTGATACCCGTGTCCATGTTGCCTGTGTTGAACTTTCTATCGGGGCCTGGGCACCCACTGTGGAGGGCGGACATGGGAAAGGTCAGAGCAGGAAAAGATGACCATCAGAAGGGTATGAGAGGTGCACCTCAAAGGGCCAATCTGAGAAAGCCATCCCCAGAGGACAAAGCATTTCCTTGTTCCTTATCTCTGGTTGAGGATGTGCCAGGCATTTGCATTGGGGCCACTCAACAAATAGGAGGGGCTCCCTGCCCTAGTTTTTTACTAAGCAGGTTCTGGAGCTGTGAGGGGCTCCCTTCATTTCCCGGCTATGGCCTGCCTCTGAAACGGAGGGTGTGCCTGGGTGGAATTCCAACACATGTTCCAGAAGATGCTTTGTGATTTACTTTTTCTCAAAGGATCCCTTGAGCCTGAGGGAAACCCTCTTCAGAAAGCAACATAAGCAATAGTTAAAATTATGAACACTAGAGCAAGACTCCCTACTTTTGAACCTTAGTGTTAGAATTCACTCTTCTGGATAACTTTCTCTGACTTAGGGTCTTCATTTGTAAAATGGGGATTAAAAAGGTCACTGGAAGACTAGACAGTTTGGTCTCTCTGGGGCCCAGGACAATAGCTGGCACAATCAAGTGCCACACAGCAGGAGCTGGTGTAGGAAAGGTGCTGTTGGATCACCTCTTTTCTTTGCTCTGATGTTTCTTTTTATCCCTGCTCTGGTTTGGCTCTGGAAAGTCCTGTGAAGACTCATGTGTTAAGAGCTTTGTCCTCAGCCCACAGTGCTATTGGGAGGGGTAGATCCTTTAGAAGGTGGGGCTGGGTGGGAGGAAGTTAGGTCATCAAGGGCGTGCCCTTGAAGGGGTTTTGGGGACCCTGTCCCATTCTTCTCTTTTTTGCTTCCGGGCCACCGTGAGTGAGCAGCTGCATCCATCACGGTCCCACTGTGTCATTCTGCCTCACCACCAGCCCCAGCTGGTGATGAGCAGCACAGGAACACTGGAGAGCTATTCCCAGGCCTCTGCTGGGCCCAGAGTCCCTAGAAAGAAACTGGCAAGGATGGTACCATAGGAAAGTCTGTTCCTGTTCTCATGAGCCTGCTTCAAAGTTCAAGGTGTGGGGACGGGCTTCCCCACCATTCGACCCAGCTAGCTCCTCAGGACTCTTTCCAAACTCTGTCCAAGAGTACCTGCTTCCTTTCCTGTTGGTTTTCTCCCACTAGTTTCAGTTGATGAATCCATTTCCCCTTGATTTTCCCAAGTGGTGTTTTCTTTGAGGAAGAAGAAGGGTGCAGGGCCTGGAGCTATGCAGGTACAGTATGCAAAGGTGCACAAAGGTGTGTGTGCATTTCCAACATGCGCAGAGACAAGCAAATACAGCGTGTGTACAGTCCAGTGATACATCTTTATTCTTTCAGCTTTTCTGCTTTATTAGTCAGCTTTTTTGTTTTTGTTTGTTTGTTTTTTTGCTGCTGTGATAAAGTACCGGGCAAGAACAATTTTAGAAGAGGAAAAGTTTATTTTGGGGTTCACAGTTTCAGAGGCCTTAGTCCAGAGATAGCCAGTTCCATTCCTGGGGTTTGAGATGAAGCAGAACATCATGGCTGAAGAGTGTGATGAAGGGAAGCAGCTCACATGATGATCAGAGAGCAGACTGAAAGATTCCACTCACCAGGTACAAAATCTATACTCCAAAGGGACACCTCCAATGCCCACCTCTTCAGTCATACTCTACCTGTCTTCAGTCACCACCCAGTTAATCCCATCAAGGGATTAATTCAACTGGGTTAAGGCTCTCATAACCCAAACATTGCACTTCTGAATATTCCTGCATTGTCTCACACATGAGCTTCTGGGGAACACCTAATATCTAGACCATAACACAGGACTTACAATCTGATTCCCAGAGCTCACTTTCTTCAGTCTACCACCAACACCTTTCTACCTCATTTTTCCCATTTATAAGTGAGTTTCATTTATAAGTGGGAAAAATAAGAGAATCCTCCTAAGAGCTGATTATTAAATTAGACAATATATATAAGTCGAAAACATCATCCTGTTGTGTGCACTCAGTAAATGTTAGCAACTAATAATCATGAATATTATGTGTGACATCTATGTGAGCCAGGTTTTATTTTCTATCTATATGTATATTTTCTATAAATTATTTCCATCTTCACAACAACCTGCTCATTTCTACTTTACAGAAGTGAAACTAAGGCTGAGAGAGCAGATGATTGATTAATGGAAGCATAGGAATTTGAGCCCTCTTCTTGGATTCTAGTACTCACTGTAACATGGGGACCCCCTTTCCTCTGACAGGTATGGGCTATAGGGAGACCAAGGCTCCACTTCCCCTGAGACCTCCATGAGGGTTGAGGCACCATGGCAGATGGGACCACTCCTGAGGGCATGCTACCCCCTGATGTTGTCCCTGCCCAGCAGGGGCGCACCAGGCCAGGGAGACCTGGGGGCATGGCCCTCCAGCCAAGCCTCGTGGAAGAAAGGGCTGCTTGGGACAGGTAGAGTGGTCAGGAGGGACTATGCCAAAAGCTGCCCCCATGAGGAAGAAAGAGGAGGAGAAGCCGAGGATCAGGAGATGGTTTTCAGGAACATTAGAGATCAGAGGGGAGAACTGGGTGATTTTAATTTCATGCAGCTGCTGGAGATTAATTTAATTGTGCTGGCGCTGGCTCTTCTTGCTTCCAATCCATTTCATCCAGGGCCTGGTGGAGAGCTGAGACTGAAGAGGACCCCACTGTTCCAGGTGGCCTTGGATACGTAGCTCCTGGCCAGACTTTCCACTCTGATGGCTGCTACCAAAGCTGAGAGGTAAACTGTTTTTTTTTTTTTTTTCAATCTAGACTTATCCTAGAGGAGAAAAATGAGAATAGGAAGAACTCCCCAGTAGCCAAGAGCACAAACTGTGGGTGCTCATCCAAAGATGGGTGAAAGGGCTATAAACCATCTTCTCTAACTTAACGATGGAAGAGATACTAACGGGGCCTGAGTCTGGGCCAAGAGTGCGTGGTCCACCCCAGCTCACTCACCCCACGCAGCCTAGATCCAGGCACATGGACTCACACATGGTCAGGCACCACGGGCATCACATGAGCACATTTGGATGTGAGCAGGAAGCCCACATTGGTGTTCAGGGGCTACACACAGGGTCACATTAATCAAGAGGGACACAACCATATAAGATGCTGACGTCACAGCTACCTACTCTCCCTCACCTCCTTTGAAGTGACCAAATGCCTACTTTTGACCAAGGGCTCTCAATCTTGGAGGCACGTGAATTCCCTGGGAGCTTTAAAAACAGATACTGATGCCAAGGTCTTGCTACTGGAGGTTCTGACGTAATTCAGAATAAACACTGTGGCAGGGTCTGGACAGTGGTGGCTTTCCATATTCCCAGGTGATTCTAACTGGACCAGAGCTGAGACCTGCTGGTTGAAAGGAATCCACTTGTACAGTTCTGTCCTTTGGCCACTAGAGGTCAGCAGGGCTTGGAGGAAGGGGCTGCAGGTGGCCTTAACAGAGTCCTCCTGCTGGGTTCTCCTGGGCTGACCCCGCCAGCCTTCTCCCTGTCTGGTCCCAGGGGATGCAGGTCAAGAACTGTCAGTCCCTGGGCTCAGAGAAACACCACCGCAAGGGAGCGAAGGTGGCTTGCTGGCTGGATCAAGACCTATGAGCCACAGAAAGTCAACCTCACTTAAGAGATTTGCCCTGATTAAAGCCCTCACAATCTTGGCCTCCTGCAGCAAGTGCCTCCTCTCTGCACCAGGGTATTCTGATCTGGTCCCTGCCTGGCTTCTTGTGCAGGTATATTTGTGTGTGTGTTTAATACTGGGAATTGAACCCAGGGGCACTTTACCGCTGAGCTACATCCCTAGCCCTTTTGAAAAATTTGAGATGGGGTTTCATTAAGTTGCTGAGGCTGAAGTTGAAATCCTTCTGTCTCAATTTCCCCTCCTGCCTCAGCCTCCCAAGTTTTTTGCCAGGATTACAGGCGCACATCATCATACCGGGCTGGGTCTGGGCTTAATGTGCACATACAGCCTGCACACCGGGAACCCAATGAATATAGGAGGAGCCAGCTTTTGGATTCCAAAGGTTGTTTACTTTGACTCACTGCTGTTTTCATTGGAGAAGAGGAAAGCAGAAAGTTCCTTTACTTTGGCGCAGACCTGGCACACACGACCTCACTGAGCCCATTTCAGATGAGAAAGGAGAAATAGACTAGAGGTTCAAACTTCTTTTATCATCTTCAAGAAGAATATCAAGAGCAGAGAGCAAGGAGGCTTTCCCTCATTTCAATTTAAGGAAAAATGAAAGGAAGGCTAATCTGCCACTTAAAATATCTGACCTCAGAAATGAAAAATGGAAAGGCCTCCCTGCTCAATCCTGTTTCTCCTTTTAGGCTCCAGCTCCCAGACACCTGCTTGGCTCTTTGCACTGCTCCTATTGCGCTTCATGGTTACTCTCTGTGGAGGTCATCTTTCCTTCCAAGCCACAAGGCTGCTTCATGGTAGAATAAGTTCATGGCACATAATAAATGCTCAATAAATGTTTGTCAAACCAAAAAGTCTCCGTCAATCATGTCTGGAATCTTACTTGCAAAATACTTAAAAATCAACCCACAGAGAATTTTTTCTAGATCCTTCTCTGATCAATCCCCAAGTCTCCCATTCTTAACCTGAAAATGTTTGGGGGAAATTTATAAAAAAATATGAAGATTCTTGAACTTCAACCACCCACCTACCCCCAGGGACAGTGACTGGGTAGGCTTAGGGTGGGGTTCAGGAATTTGCATTTCTGAGAGGTGTCTCCAGTGATTCTAAAATTTTTAAAAAGAAGTGAGATGCCACTCCTGCCATCCTGGCTGGGTTTTTTGTCCAGGCTTGCCTTCAGCCTTTGTCCAGGGAGACAGGCCAGTGTTTGATCCTGCCACAGGGACTGCGATCCTTTTGTCCTCCTGCTAGGGTGTGCTGTGAATTGTCCTCACTGTTCTCAGCAGAGGCTATCAAGGTCCTCTTCTGCTCCAATGGGCTGGATCCTCTCAACAGCTTGGTTTCTCTCTTCACTCCTATTTTATGGTTCCCTCCCAATCCAAGCAGCTGCAGTTGGGCAAACATTCTGGGCCCATATTCCACTATAGGATTATTGGAGGGTAGTGAACTTGGCATGGAACTTGGGGCCCTTGGGTTATTTTATGTATGTGTGTCAGGTATTGGGGGATTGAACTCAGAGACACTTAACCACTGAGATACAACCCCAGTGCGCCCCCATATTTTTTGGTACTAGGGATGGAACCCAGGGTTTCTTTACTGCTGTGATACATCCCTGTCCCCCCCCCCAACCTTTTTTTTTTTTGAGACAATGTCTCTCTAAGTTTCTGACAGTCTCTCTCAATTTCTGAGGCTGTCCTCACATTTGAGATCCTCCTGCCTCACTCCCCAAAGTCACTGGAATTACAGGTTTGTGCTACTGCACCAATCTTTTATTTGTGTTGGGAGGGGAATACTGGGGATTGATTCCAGGGATACTTAAACACTGAGCTACATCTCTCTTTTTCTTTTGAGACAAAATCTCACTAAGTGGCTTAGGACCTTGCTAAATTGCTGAGGCTGGCCTTGAACTTGTGATTCTCCTGTCTCAGCCTTCTCAGTTGCTGGGCTTATAGGATATGTGCCATGATGCCTGACTGCACCCAGCTTTTTGGCTTTGTTTTCTCTCTTTTTTCTTTTCTTTTGGTGCTGAGGATCAGACTCAGGTTCTTGTGCATCAGTGCTAAATCCCCAACTAACTTGAGACCCTTGTGAATATGGTTTCTCATCTTGGCCCTTCACAGAAGGAAAAGAATGAAAGACAGCAGGTGGACAGAGGGGTCTGAGGATTTGGGGTTTAACCTACATGTTATCCAGCAGCCTGGTCCCCACCTGGCTGTGCTTTGACCTCCATCAAAACCTTTTCATCTGAGCGCAATGGTGCACGCCTTAAATCCCAGTGGCTCTGGAGGCTGAGGCAGGAGGATAGCGAGTTCAAAGCCAGCCTCAGCAATGGCAAGGCACTAAGTAACTCATTGAGACCCTGTCTCTAAATAAGATACAAAATAGCACTGAGGATGTGGCTCAGTGGCCGAGTGCCCCTGGGTTCAATCCCTGGTAACCCCCATCCACCAAAAAACCCCACAAGACACACACACACACACACACACACAAACCCCCTTTCACAGCTGCTCCAAAGAGACGTGGATTCTGATGAGTTCTTGGGCCCAGTCTCCCTTCTTACAAAGATCTAGTCAGAAGGCTGCCCAGGGAGCCATTTCCATGAGGTGGGGGCAGGTGGAGGAAACAAACTTTAAAAGTAGCTACAATTAGTGAGCTCTTACTGCATTCCAGACATTGGGCTAGACACCTTTATGTTCATTATATTAAAACATATGGTAGCACTGAAAAATATCACCCATTTTTATTTCTAATTCCATTTTATAGATGAGACAGAGAATTTAAACAATTTGCTCAGGACTTGTAGCTACTAAGAGTTAGAGATATGATTTGAACTCAAATCTGTCTGGCCAAAGCTCCACCTTGAAATCAGAGAATAAAGCCTTTTTTTTTTTTTTAAAATTTGTTCTTTTTAGATATATGTGACAGTGAGTGTATTTTGACATATCATACATACATGGAGTATAACTTCCCATTTTTGAGGTTGTACATGATGTGGAGTTTCACTGGTTGTGTATGCATATATGAATATAGGAAAGTTCTGTCCAATTCATTCTACTCTCTTTCCTATTCCCATCCCCCTTCTCTTCCCTTCATTCCCCTTTGTCTAATCCAATGAACTACTCTCCCCACCCTTATCGTGTATTAGCATCCGAATATCAGAGAGAACATTTTGTTTTTTTGGCCTTGGTTTTTTTGGGATTGATTGGCTTATTTCACTTAGCACGATAGTCTCCAGATCTATCCATTTACTGGCAAAAGTCATAAAGTAATTCTTTTTTATCACTGAATAATATTCCACAGTGTGTATTCATACCACATTTATTTATCCATTCATCTGTTGAAGGACACCTAGGTTGGTTCCATAGCTTAGCTATTGTCAATAAACCTCTTGTTAGCTCTTGTAGACATCCTGGACACAGTACCTTGATCCAACAAAGGTCTATAAAGGGCTTGCCACTTGACAAATTGCATTGATTCCAAATGTAAAAAGAAAATAGCATAATTGAGAAGTTTAAAAACATTTATTTAAATGATGAAAAAATACATCATGACAAATAGTTAAGCACAGCCTCATCTTATAGAGCTTGATAGAAATGATGTTTAAATGATGAGGGGCAGATGCTGTAAACATTGTCCCCTGCCCACTTGTCCCCAACATAAGCATGAAGGAATGTAGGAGGACCACAGTATGATGTCAAGAGACCCTGCTTTCAGCACCCTCCTAACAGCCACTTGTGGTGCAGTTTTCCTGCCTCTCCTACCTAATTCCCAAGAGGGGCAGGAGGCACAAACTAAACCATCTTTTTTTTAAACTTCTTTTTTATTTTTAGTTGTGGATGGACACAATACCTTTATTTTGTTTTTTACTTAATTGATGCTGAAGATTCAACCCAGTGCCCCTCGCATGCAAGACAAGCACTCTACCACTGAGCCACAATCCCAGCCACACAAAACCATTTTTTTTTTGAGGAGGTACCAGGGATTGAATTTAAGGGAAGTCAATCACTGAGGCACATCCCCAGCCTTATTTTTTGTATTTTTAATTTAGAGACGGGGTCTCACTGAGTTGCTTAGCACCTCGCCATTGCTGAGGCTGGCTTTGAACTCGAGATCCTCCTGTCTCAGCCATCCAAGCTGCTGGGATTACAGGTGTGTGCCACTGTGCCCAGCTATTCAAACCATCTTTTTAAACACACAAAAGTATCCAAAGTGCCTGCATTGAAAAGGATGATAATCTCAGTTCGGAAACCTTAAAAAAAAACCAAAACACGGAAATACATACATAATCTTTGTTTGTAAAAAAACATTTCTGGTGTCTTATGTTTCCAATTCCATGAGAATCACTACCAAGTCTTGCATAGTGTCTCTCATCCCTTGTCCCATGTAACCATCCTAACTATCTTATAAAGTAAAACTTTCTCCTTGTTTCTTTGGTAAGTGCGAGATAACTGAGCCTCAGAGAGAAGTGACTTCCTCAGAGCCACCAGCTAGTAAGAGCTAAAGCCTGTGAAGCCAACTAGGTCTTTGGCCCGATTTACTACTGTGTGGCCTTCAGTGATGAGTGTGACTCTCTGAACCTAAGTTTCTCATTTGGAAATAGATATAAATATGCCTGTCTTTTGGGCTGATTTGACACATTATCATAAACCAGGTGACTTAAGAACGACATTTGTTTCTCACAGCTCTAGAGGCTGAGAAATCCTAGATCAAGGTGTAGGTAGCTTCAGGGTTTGGTGAGGGCCCATTTCCTGGTTTGTAATGGCTCTTTTCCATGTGTGGTTTTATGGTCACTAATCCCATTCAGGAAGGCTCCATCCTCATGACCTTCTGACCCCCCAGTGGCCCCCACCTCTCAAACATGAATTTGCAAGAGTCATAGATGTTCAGTCTATAGCAAATGCCCCGGTTTAAATGCGTATAATACAGCGGTCAGTTGCGCGTCATGGCACACGCCTGTAATCCCAGCAGTTTGGGATGCTGAGACAGAAGGATCGTGAGTTCAAAGCCAGCCTCAGCAAAATTGAGGCACTAAGCAACTCAATGAGACCGTTTCTCTAAGTAAAATGCAAAATAGGGCTAGGGTTGTGGCTCAGTGGTTGAGTGCCCCTGAATTCAATCCCTGGTACCCACCCCCTATAAAAAAAAAATAAATATATAGTTGTCATACCCATTTACCAGGATTGTTATGGGGTAATGAGAAAAAGCATGAAAAAAATCACTCAGCACAGTTACTAAGTAGTTGATGCTCAGTAAATGCAGACATCATTATTATTTGTTACCACTATAGTTATTATTATCACAGCACTCATATATGTTCTTCTTTCTTTTCTAAAATCTCTCTGAACCAACATGCACATAAACTTTCTTTCCAGAAATGAAGATCTTAGATCTATGTTCCTTGGGGAGACTAGGCCAAAATGTCAGCCTGACTTTGACTTTATCCTCAAGATCATGCAAAGAAGGCAGAAAAGTTAAACATGGGGGTGGGGAGAGAGCAAAGAGGCCGCAACTTAAACAAGAAGGAAGGGGCCACCCCAGGCTGGGCTCTGCAAGACCTTTGTATTAAAGCTGCTACTTAGCCCTGACCCTGGCAGCTTGGCAAAAATGCCAAAGGCAAAGTCTAAAAATGAGTCCTGATAGGATGGGGAGGTCCCAGGTACCTAGGAACCTGTTTTCATTTCATGACCAACAACTAGGACACATTGTTACAGGAAAATATAAAGGAGCTGGTTCAAAGGCTGATTTGCACTTAGCTGAAATGTAAAGTTAGCACTGCTTGGCCCAGGGCTGGAGACAACTCCCCACCCATCT